ATAAATATACAATCGGAATTAAGATAGCATTATGTAAGTGATCATTTTTACCTTGTAAAATTAAATTTACAGGGTTTTTCAAAAAGTCAATGGATGATAAATTTTTAAATAAAAAAAAAAAAAACAGACAAGCAAGAGGAAGAAAAGAATAAAAACAGGGGAAAAAAGAAGATGAAGAATATAAAGGAAGGGAAGGTGGCAAAAGAAGCAGGAGGTGGTGTATGTCTTGATATGAGTGATGGTCAGAGGGGAAAGGAACAAAGAAAGAGAAAGAAAGAAAGAAATGACATATTTAATGTACTCAGTAGAAATCTGACAGTAGATAGACCAAATGAATCTTCAGAAATTAATGAAAAAAATAAATATTATATAAAATAATAAGAGATAAACCCAAAAATATGAAAGAGAGATCATTCAGAATAAAGATTATTAAATTAATAAATATGTCAAAAAAGAATATTAAGGGAAATATAAAAAAAATTTAATATAAAGGGAGGGAATATAAATATCATAGGATGAATACATCCAAATTAACATATATCATATTGATATTAATACCCCTCCACAAGAAAAAAAAATTATATTTGAAATTTAATATGTAATATAATAAAAAAAAAACTTAAAATTGTAAAAAAATGAATGAAAAGTGTTTCAAGAATAAGGGAATTAAAAGATGCATTTAGAATCAATAGATAATACTATATAAAAAATAAATAATATATAAATATATTAATTAATTAAATGATAATAAAAAAATTTTAAATAAATAAAAAAAATTACAAAAAAACCTTAACTGAAATTAAAATAATACAAAAACAAAAATACCCCCCAAATATAAAACCCTTAAAATTTATACTAAGATATTCAAACCTCATAAAACAATATATATTAATATAACAATATATATTAATACAAAACACTTCAATACTACACATCCTAATTATATATTAACATATGCACCATATATAAAATATAAAAAAAACCATAATATCAAAAAATAACTAAATACTTAAAATTAGACATCCAACTGATTGAGAATAAATATAAAAGAATATAATAAAAAACATATAAACCAATATATGAAATAGAGCTTATAAAAAACATAATTATGTATTATTACATAATAGCAAATTGACTCAAAAGTTATATTAAGGTATATTATTATTAATATATATTATTGTAGTGAAAGTACTTATATGTAAAGGATAATTCAGGATAATTCAATAAAAATACCTTAAGGTAAGAAAAAAGGAAAAATAATGCCAATAATGGTAATATTACAGATAATATCGATAGTCACTAAGAATTAATAGTAATTTAGTGATAGAGGAAAAATATTTTTGAAAATTCAACAGAGGAGAAATTTGGGAAGGATATATAAAAAAGGGGAGAAGTGGAATATACAATGTAATTGTCAAAGACAGCAGTTCATGTACTTGTGAAAGGATAAAAGTTCATTCAATTTCCATCAGAACTGAAGAGGAGCAGGAATTCACAGGTAATTTCCAAAGGATGACAATTCATGCAAGTTCAATTAAGGGTCTAGATAAGTTTAAATCTACTGCAGTGACAGCATTTAGAAAATAGTTCATTCCTTTGGTTTAACAGTATCTTTGGATTTCTAAATTTAATAATTCTAATTTTTTCTCATAGGCATAGATTGCATCTACCTTTAATACTAGGAATGTGGGCAAACCCTATAATTTTCTAGTCAATCTTTCTCCCTCAATTCCCAAAATTTTTTGGAAAGTGCCATTTGGAATTTCAAATTTGGGTTGGAAAATAAGTGCCAATGGGTATACAGATGTTGCTTCCATTCACCCATAGAAATTCTAATATAAAAATTGTGGTTGTTCTTGTTCTCTAGGTTTAAACGATTACCTGGTAAATTACATTAGAGGCATTTTCCTTCTACTGGACAGAGTTCACCATTTCAAAAATTACATGGGGTATCCATACTAGGTGAATTGTTGATGCCATAGAATTTATTCAGAACAACTTTATTATGGGATAATAATAATTTTATACATATTATTTGTACAAGAATAAATTATTTTAATCAGTTTTCTATTGAAGGCTCTACTTAGGGGGTGGTTATTTTTTAAATGTTTGTTTATAAGTTTTAAAAACACTTGTCCTATGTTAATTTTAGATAACCAACAGAAGTGGGGGGTTAAACCACATTATATTTCTTTTTCTATTTCTACACTTATTATTATTTACATTACAGGGTTCAAGTACAAAAGTTTATTTTTAAAACCACTTTTTTGGAGTGCCCTATCATACAATTGCTTTGTTTTTATTAAAAATATATTTATTAGAGAAAAGTTGACTAATCATAGTTCCAAGAGTGATAGGTATCTCCCTTACAATAGTATCAAAGTGGTTTCAAGTCTACATTAATGTAGTTAGAAGTTTCATGATCTTTATGGTAGGGTTTAAAGGTACTGGTGTTCAGGTCAAGAGTGATGTCCAAATAATCTACAATTTTTAGGTTAGATGATATATCTATCTTCAACCCGAGAAACTTAAAAGCATTAATGATTTTTTTTTTTCTGTAGTTTAATAGTGAGTGGACGATTGAATATATATATATATATATATATATATATATATATATATATATATATATATATATCAATCATGTTTTATTGAATTATATGGACATATGTCTATTTATTTTTATCATAATCCTTTATATATATGTGTGTGTATATATATATGTGTGTGTGTGTGTGCATGTATATATGTATATGTGTGTGTGTATATATATATATATATATATATATATATATATATATAAAATTTATTAAAAATTATATCATAAATATGTTATAAAAATCACTGCAAAATAGCCATTTTGTTTCAACACTTCTGGTGTTTATCAAGTGATGGTGTTGAATGTACATTCAACACCATCATTGATAAGACACCAGAAGTGTTGAAACAAAATGGCTATTTTTGTAGTGATTTTATAACATATCTATGCTATAATTTTTAATAAATTATATTTGCTCTACTCTGTATTGAACACTCTTTTAAGGATATTATTTTTTGGTTATTAGAATTTATTCTATATACACCAATCCTATACTTGGCTATATATATAGATATATAAATATATAAATTAGCCACACTGATCAGCTGTGATATGGTGAAACAGTCTGTCTGTGGATGACTACATATATATAAATACTCAAGAATCTTATTAAAACAAAATATGCCCTCTCCTGGAAGATTCAAACTGCATTCTGCTCGGCAGCATCTACTCAAATATAGGTTTCATTAATAAAATAATACACATTCAATCATGTTTCATTGAATAATATCAACATATTATGTCTATTTCTTTTTATAATAATCCTTTCTAGTTCTCAAATTAGCTTCTTGATGTTGAAAATCATCAAGGAAGGCACCATAGTTTTTGTTAACCCAAGATCTCCCCTGTATAATTTAAAATATGTATATTAAGGCAATATATCTTCATTTGAATATATTTCATTGAATAATATAGGCATATATATATATTCTTCTCATTAATTCAACCACATGTGTTCCATTCTGTTCTACTACCTTTCACCATCTTTGAGACAGTTTCATGATTCCATCCTCTCAGAATTTGCCATTTTTCTAGCTAGTGAACTCGTCTGAGTGTTTTTTACAGGCTTCCAAAACTTTTTGAGCTCTTCACATTGTGACGATTTTAGGTTGTCAGTAAAAGAAATTGAAATTATAGCTGACCATAGGAGAGACAATGATGATGATGAAGGTGCCCAGAAACGGCGGCACGGGCAAGCTAAAAATAGAACGGAGGTCATCATCATTAATCAGAACTGCCAGAATATTCTTCCATATCAAAATTTCCACTTGTGACCCCAGTGAACCACATACAAACAGTACTCTTAGGTATGGTACCATTTACACAAATGGCACATATATATTTTGCTGTTTGTGCAGTCATTTATTTTTCTTTCCAGAATAAAAATGAATAAAAAAATTTAAATGACAAAAATGCATCACATTTGCCTCCATTTCCACTTTTAACATAAAAACATTTAAAATTCACAACCTTAGCACCCTCAGACTTTCATCTCTGTGGTTCAATGGACAAGGCACTGAGGAGCAATTATGGTGGTGATGCAGAAGTGAAACTGCTGCAAGGAATTGGCTACTGCAGCAGCCAGCTGAATTTTATAAAGCTGGGATACATACCTTCGTTCATAGGAGGAACCCTGACATTGAAAATGGTAGTGATTTTGTTGAGAAATAGGGATGTGAACCTGTCATGTATAGTTATATCGTGATATACTATGTTTGATTGAGTTCCTTATTTCTTATATAACAAAACAAATTGCAATACTTTTTGACTCACCATCATATAGAAGCACACAAAAACCCATAAATACAAACAGAAAGGATAAATGTATATCAGCAAAGAAACTGGCAGAAAGAAAAAAGATGAAAGCAAAGATGACAGAAAAGGTGCAAGATGGGAATAAATTTTTAACTTTTTTAAACTCCAAAGACCTTAACCTATTCCAAGTTTATTCTTGACTTGCATATATAAGTCTTCCTGTTTTGAACATTTTTGTTATTCGTCCTAGAAAGATTTTTGAAGTGTGTAGAAAAGTTGAACTGAAACCAAGACAAAATACGAGTCAAACTTTACAAAATTGAAAAGAGAAGAAATTATATATTTTCTTTAGTTGAGTTGTTTTGCATTTAGGATTACATACCTTGATTCACAGAAGGAACCCCAACAATGAAAGAGGTGGTGACTATGTTGAGAAGTACGGATGTAAACCTGTGATGTACGACATTTGATTTGATTCCTTATTTGTTATATAATAAAACAAATTGCATTACTTTTTGACTCAACTTCATATAGAAGCACACAAAAACCGAAAAAATACAGGTATAAAAGATAAATGGATAATAAATTTGTGTTAAAATTATTTTTGTCTTGATGTTCCAAATTAATTCTTGCCAGACATACTCACATCTTTATGATCTTCATTTGGCAACAAAGATTCAACTGTTGGCTGCAACAGCTGAAATCAGAAAATACACCATCTTTATAGTTATTGCCTGTCATAATTATACTTATAATCTAAAAATAAAAATACAGGCTTTCATTTCCTACACTCATATCTAAACATATGATTCAAATTTTGATGCAGTTAGGAATATCTATGTCTTTAGTAACAATTAAAATGTTTCTTTATTACATACTGACACATTTCTGTCTGTCATTGACAAATAAGCTTGATTCTGCCCTTATTATTATTGCAGGTAAAATTCAATAAATAAATGTAATTCAGTAAAGTTATGTAAAAATAAAACCATGTTTTAGAGTTGTTTAGGATAATAAATTGTTAGCAACATAAGAATCATATTCTGTATCAATTTAGGATAACAAAGATATCACAAATGAACAAAATGAATTATGAGAAGAAAAACAAAACATTACTGCTGTCAGACTTTCTCTGATACATGTTTAATGCATTAAACTTCAAATCCAATTATCAGAAAAAAACAATGATGTTGCCATACTTTCTCTGATACATGTTTAATGCATTAAACTTCAAATCAATTATCAGAAAAAAACAATGATGTTGCCAGACTTTTAATGCTCTGATACATGTTTAATGCATTAAACTTCAAATCCAATTATCAGAAAAAAACAATGATGTTGCCAGACTTTCTCTGATACATGTTTAATGCATTAAACTTCAAATCCAATTATCAGAAAAAAACAATGATGTTGCCAGACTTTCTCTGATACATGTTTAATGCATTAAACTTCAAATCCAATTATCAGAAAAAAACAATGATGTTGCCAGACTTTCTCTGATACCTACTTCATGCCTAAAAAATAAACAGAAAGAAATCTATCTCCAAAAAACACTCAACTCTTTAAGCAAAGAAAATATATAATTTCTTCTCTTCTCAATTTTCCATTATTTAAAACATCTGTCATCCAGGTTTTGGCTCAACTGTTCTTAACACTCTAATCAGCCTCACTATTTCTACATGCCTTTCATCTACTCTAGTTGAACTTTCTAAGAAAGTCTCTTCATCAACTGAGATCCAAAAAACATCTTTTTTTTCTTTATTTTTAACTTTTTTAAGCTACAAGGACTTTAGCCTATTCCAAATTTATTCTTGACTTGTATATAGGTCTTCATGTTTTGAACATTTTTGTAACCTGTCTTAGAAAGATTTTTGAAGTGTGGAGAAAAGTTTAGCCAAAACCTAAATGAGTCAAACTAGAAAACTGAAAAGAGAAGAAATTATATACTGTCTTTGTTCACAAGGTTGAGTTGTGTTGCAAATTATCTCTTTTAATGTATAAAACAGATATTATAGAATGACTGGCAACAGTGTTGTCTTCTTCTCACGAGTTTGAACTGTAAATATAGTAAAGGTTTTCTCCCTCAAGGCAGAAAGGCACAACTCTCATAACTGAAGAATTTCAGTCACTGTGCATTTTCATGACCCAATGTATCCTCATCAGTGTACCAGCCATGCTGAGAGATGGGTGATTTTATCAAGTCACCATATCTAGACTGGTTGCAAGTCAAAGCCATAGAACACAATCTGTCCTGCTATTTGACCCATAACTGGAGGGAGAGGAAAACAGATTCATACCTTCTCCAAGAGTATTTACGTGTAAGTGAATGCAACAAACTCAGCTGAAATTCAAACTCAGTGCTTTGATTTTTCATTCCAAGCTGCAATCTATCGTGTACACACACAACTTGAACTTTATGTTGCCTACTTTCTTGCTTAGTTTAAGGTCTGCTTCTGTCTGGATTTTGATCATATGCTTCTGATAGCTTGACTGATTTGCATTTGATTTTTCTGCCTTTTTATCTTATCCCCATCAGATAAAATCTACTTCCATATTTTCTTTTCAAAAATTGTTTTTTGTAAACAATTCCCTGTTGATATTTCTTTTAATTATATTATATAGTAAGCTCTTATTTACAAAACTTCTTTCTGTTACTAACCTACTGATTGGGAAATGAGTGTTGCAATTTCCACCATGAAGTGCTACAATTTCCAAACATACAAGAGGTGTAATGGTTAACTTCTTACAGAAAAGGCTTAAGAAAACTATCTGACAAAGGCAGAGAAATCTTAAACAAGGTGAAACATCCTGTTGAACCAGGGACAATCTGGTTTTTCTCTGATAAAAAGAATTTTTGTTAGGACCAGCTGCACAACACTCAAAACAACAGATTGCTTGCCTACAATCCATGACATTCCTCATGTCATAAAGACTACATTGCCTAAAACTGTGATGGTTTTTGGGTGTGTCTCCAGTGAGGGTAGTGTCATGCCACTTTACATCTTTGAACAGGAACTCAAGCTCAATTCGGATGGCTATGTAGAATTGCTGAACACCATGGTCAAGCCTTGATGGAGAGAGTGACTGTTGGAAGACCATATGTGTAGCAACAAGATTCAGTTCCCCACCACACCTCCAAGAAGAGTCAGAAGTGATTGTCAGAAAATGATTACGAGTTCGCCAGCCTCAATCTCTGGCCCCCTAACTCAACTGATTGTAATCCTATGGATTATTATATATGGAGTGCTGTTGAAAAAGACATCAACCACACTTCCTGTAACACCAAGGCTCAGCTGATTGACAGGATTAAGGAGGCATTTGAGACTCTCCCTAGGGACACTGTGAAGGCCACGTGTCAGATTCCAGAGTTGGATTGAAACCGTTATAGATGCTGAGGATGGCTTCTTTGAGTGAATTGTCTTTTGATTATTATAACCGGTATGCCGCTTTTCTATTTTCCCCAATAAATTGATTTTTGGCTTAGATATTCACTTTGTCTTCCTTAAAAAAAAAACTGTCAAATTTATCCCAAACACCCTGTATTAGTTAGAAAATGTAAGATTTTTTATTTTTTCTTTCTTATGTATTTTGTTAGTAAATTTGGTCTTTTGATCACTTTTTGATTGTATGACAAATAATTCGTATAGTATTACTTACATTTACTCGAACTTCATAGTGGCCAGGTAATGAAAGACAACGAAGGATGACTTCTAAATTAATGTGGGTAACAGATTCTTCCACTTGGACATCACAATTTAGACATACCAACACTCTGAGATAGAAAAAAAAACAAGAAAAATATTTATCTGCCTATATGAAAAATGTAATTGCTGCTAACGAAACATTTTAAATGCTTATCTTGATCTCAGCAGTGTGTATACATGTCATTGTAAATATAAATTGGTCAAAGAATGGCAAATACATCTTATTGCTTATTCCCTCTATAAACCAAAATGAGCTGAGAATTCCTTCTCTCCATTCTTTCAGGTTAACTAGTAGGACTTGTATTTGGAAAATTCATTGTTATTTTCAAATATTGTTAATGCAATATACCCTCACCAAAAAAAGAATTATTCTTAATATTTGAAAATGTTTTGGCTTTAATTAGCCCACAAAGGATTGCTAAGCCTTATAAAAAAAAATGGAACTATTCTTTTCTCTTGATTAAAGGAAAATATTTGCATAATGCTATGAATTCATATTGCAATATTTTAGTTATTGCATTTCAGCTTTGGTTCATGGTTCAACCTTTACAATTGCAAGCTTATTTTTTTTATACCTTTGTTCAACTAGTACAAGGCCCAATAACCACTCAATGTAGAGTATTACTGAATGAGGTTATTTGATGATCCTAAAGAGGAGGGGTTAAGAAGTACAGATTATGAGGATATGTAGGATAGATAACAGTTGCCCTTAAATTTGAAGAGCTTGAGATTGTAGTGTTTGGGAGTCTGTTCCACAAAGCAGGAGCTCTTGGGAAGAATGCATCTGAATGGAAATTCCTTCTTACCAATGAAATATGAAGGGAACAAGGGTGATTCAACCCTGTGTATATGGCATGACAACTCTTAGCTGTGAAGGGCTGAACTGGTGAAACTAAGGAATGAAGGGAATGAGGATGATTCAACCCTGTGTATTTTTTAAAAAGTTTTAAATTTCAAAGAATCTGAACAATCAAAAATGCAATAAATAGTTCAACAGAAAAATAGATTTATATCCTATTTTCCTAAAACAGAGTAATTTCTGTTTTTTATCTATTATATCCAAAATGAAGATGTAATTTTTTTAATTGCTTAGACTTACTTGTCTTCTTGATTATACTGTCTATAGGCCAATTGTTCCTCATCACAATAAGGACACATTTCCCAGGTGACAGCTGTTTTATGGTCCACACTATAAATCACACCTAAAAAGAAAGAAGATTAACAATTTGACATGGAAGAACTGTTTGTAACTAAGAAGTGACAACAAATTTTAAAGATATCCCTCAAAACTATATGAATTTATTTTTTCCAGATGAAGCATTGTTAACCATTAGTAACAGGTTATTCTTTTATCAACTATAAAAAGACAGAATTTATGATTGCCAGACAGCAACATTTTGATCCGATGCAGAGTGCATGTAAGCGTTCTGGAAGCAAAGGAAATGTTTGTCACAGATTAATTCCACAACGCAGAGAACAAATCACTGTATGTTCACACTCGAATATCGGGGACAGAATGAAATGCCAAAAACTCGATTCGCAGGTACTATCTCACAAATCCCAATGCACATAACCAGTCAGAAAAATAACTCACTCGCTGCCGAACGCAGTAGCCAAAATACATCAGTTTTTTCCTCTCGATTTGAGAACACCAACTGCTTTTATTGGCTGAGCAGTTTTTTCATTCGTCGTCAACTGGGAGAGGACGTCAAGTATTTTGCATAACAAAATACTTTTATAGAGACTCCTGCGACGGACTTGTTTTTAATCTAAATATTCCGTCCTCAGCATGTCATGCAGAATTATTGCCTCGCTCGAGGTGAAATGATAAAAAAAAAAAGAAATATAATAAAAATAATAAAATAAATATATATCATAAAAGAAGAGTAGATTTTCTGTATATTCCACTGTCTGCATATGACTTTACATATACATATACATATATATATATATATATGTATGTCAGTGTGGTGTATAAGTGATTTAATATATACAGAAACACATAAATCACTCATACATATATAAAATTTGAATGAATTTAAAATAAGTCATTGGAATAATACATTCCCTTTCCACTCAGTCTGGACAACCTCTACCCTGTGCTGAGAATTAAAATTTAAATTCATGCAGTCTAGGTACCAAGAAGGAAAGTTCATTAGAACAATATCCATGAAAATATTTATAGAAAAGATGCAGGGAAGACACGTTATATCAGTGGGAATGTGACTGAAGTCAAGATGCCAGGTCAGGACAAATAACATTGCAGACCCTTATTTGTTTCAGTCATTGCACCCTCTGGCCTTCTTAAAATGTCTGTTGTCATATTCAGTAACTGAATCCTTTATTCAATCTATGGTGATAGAGTGTTCACTTTCAATTTTCCATGCTTAGGGAATATTTTCATATCAGTTAATGCTCAGCAGACTTACTCGCCTTTACAGTCTGAACAGCAAGACAGTTAATGATGATAATTTCTCTGACATAAAATATTTTCATTGAGAGGTTCTTCCTTACCTTGAACTTTAAACAAACAGTTACACTGAGAATTTTCTTGCAAACTCTGGAGAGGAATAGACAGATTACAGAAATTTTGAATAAATTCTTCACACACAGAAGGAACAAACTGATGCTGTATGTTGTCAGGTGGAGGCCACAGCCAAATTCTAGTGTAGCAATCAGCAAATGCTAGCATATCTGAAAAGACAAACATTTTAGCAAAGTTTAACTTCGGACCAGGCAAAGTTGACACCATAATTACTGTATACTCCCTCAGTAATTTTTATTGCTTTAAAAGCTATTTTTAGAATTTTAATAAACTGAATTCATAATTTTTTCCTCAAGAATTGACCACAAAAATTGTTAAACGTTATTTATTTATTCAATTGTTTAATTACAAGATTATAAAAGACATGAGAATAATAACAATATTATTTACAACAGTATATATTTTATCAACTATAAGAATAAATTATTTAAATTATAAAATTATTGTTATAGTTCACTATATGAGTAATTTTATACATGCAAGGTTATACAGAAAATAACCAAATGCTAATGAAATATTTTTTATTATCCCATGCAAAGAAATAAAGCCACTAATACACAAGAGTTAAAGGGCATGGAAAAATTAGAAACAGAAACATTAATAATGAGCAGAAAGAGGAAATTGTAATGAAGAGGACAGTAGATAGCAATTGACATTGCATTTAAATTTTTAATGATTAAAGTTGACTGAAAAGCAAAGAGCCAGAAGAGAGTTCCACAAGCAAGAAGTGCAAAAATAAGAAACTCTTAGCATAGAACTTATGGTTACATCTAGCAAGTTCAACTGTAAATTGATGAGATCTCAATGGCAGTCTAGTACAGCACTTAAATTTAAAAAGTCTAGGTACCACAGCAAAGAGCTCATCTGAACAATTACCATGAAAGTATTTATAGAAAAGACACAGAGAGGCAACCTTACAGCAGTGGGAAAGTGATTGAAGCCAAGTCACTCGATCAGGACCAATAATATTGCAGATTCTTCTTTGGATTTTATCAAGGAGCTCAAGATAAATAGGAGAGGCATTGAACAACATGTGGTAGCAAGATTCTAAGCACAGACAAATGGTAGATTTATAAATATGTAAGATAGATTCTGGAGAGAAAAATTGTCAAGCACAACACAATTAACCAACTTTCTTAGCATCCAACCTAGCAATGAATTCAATATAGTTTTTCTATTTCATGTTAGCTGAAAATGTTAGCCCAAGAAGGCACGAGTCACTTTCCTAGAGGTTAGCATCAGTCATGCTGATGGAAGGCAGAGAGGGATCTCTCAGATGATTAATGGAAAAAAGTTTAGTTTTGGAGGCATTAAAATTAACAAGCCATTCCTTGCCCCAGTTAACAGCAGATTGTAGGTCATTTTTGAGATCAGCTGCTAATTTTAACTTATCGAACTAATCAGACTTACTATTGAGACAGTAATAAATAATTGTGTCATCAGCTCACAACTTGGTATCTATGCATAGATACAGAGTTGCGAGCTGATGACATCAGGAAGACTATTGATGAAAATTAGGAGCAAAGTAGGTCCAAGGATAAAGATCAAGAAGACTGGCCATTAAGGAGAACTTTCATTTTGCAATTTGATAGGAAAAACTGGATCAGTTCAAAAATTTGTCCAGAAGTACCATAACCTTTCAACTTTTGAAGAAGCCCTGTATGCCAAACTCTGTCAAATGGTTTTGAGATATCCCAAAAAACAGCCTGATTTCAACATTCTTATCTAAAGCTTGATAGACACTTTGAGCAATAATCATTAATATATCAGCAGTTGATCTAGAAAAGCAAAAGCCATATTGCTTGTCTGAGAGAAGGCCATGTGATGTGTGATGCTTAACCAATTCAAAATTGATTAGAGCCTCTAGTAGTTTGCTAAAAAGATACAGGAGGCTAATAGGCCAGCCAATAGTAGGATCACAGTCCACCTGAGTTCTTAAAGACTGAAACTACAGACAAGGTTTTCCAACAAGCAGGAAAGTCAGGCATTTATTGTAGAGTTTTGCAAGAACAGGAGCCAGTTCAAGAGCACATTACTTAAGGACTATTGCAGGGACATCATCAGGTCCACATGCTTTGTAGGGATTCAGATTAAAAATGATAATAGAAACCATGGATGGAATTATATATCACTCAATAGAGACTCGGTTCTAAGGGGAATATCAAGCAAGGATACTCCAAATGAATCAAGATTAGAGTTTAAGGAAGAATTTACGAGCAAAACATTCTACTTGATCAGTGTTTTTATCTTTCATCAAGATTTTTAAAAAATAATTTGTTCCTGATTGAAAAATAAAGATTTGCAATGAATTTAAATAGTAAATAAAAACATGAATATTTTCAAAATGTCAATAATATATGAGTTTAAATATTGTCTTCTACAAGAATTTACAATGTCATTAATCTTAGTTTTTATTTAGTTTTACTATTTTCGAGAAATGACTCTAGAACATTGCTGTGTCCATATTTTACCTGATTACAACAATATATCATGTTAATATTTTGACCTGATTATTCAAAATAAAAAAAAAAAAGGTTGCCAGGGATGAAAGCTCATTAGAACAGATCCAAAGCCAGGGCCAGGGCCTTCTCACTCCTTGAAGGAACCCCTCCCTGATTGACCATGTCTTCAAGGGTGTAGCAATACTTACCACATTTGGCCAATTGTGGTTTAGTGAGGTTATTTAAACCCTAGTTGGAGGTTTTGAATTCCTTCTCCAAGACCTGTTGCCACCCAAGACTATAGAACCCAGTCTATTCTGCTATTTACTCATATCTGAGAGAGGTGAAAAGATAGATTCATGCCTTTCTCAAAAGTATTAGCATGTAATTGAATGTAATGAACTCTGCTAGAGTTTTTGACTTGGCTCTCTGATTCCTCAATCCAAACTGCTATCCATTACTCCACTGTACTTCCACTCAACCAGGCAAAAAAAAAACGGAAAAAACATTGCATTAAAAGAACATTTTTTTCTCTTAACACTACTCTTACTTAGTAATTTATGGTTTTTAAAAAAGTTATTTTTAGAATTTTAATAAAACCATAATATATGAATCTGTAGATATTTTTCTTGAGAATTGACAACAAAAATATCAGAAAAAGTCAAATGAAAAACAAGAGTCATCAATAAATTGGAATGGTAAAATCAAACAGTTTCAGACGTTTCCAATTGAGTCTCACCTTGTTCAAAAAGGACATCTCTCATCAATACAAGAACTGAGTCGGGTGCTTGTACAGGGTTAGTCAGTTTAAAGGGAAAATAACACGAGGGCAGACAATAAACAGTCATATAATTGTGACTGTAAGGTTCTTCACTGACACTTGGATCACTTAGAAAGAGAACCATTTTGGCATTGGCATTGGCCCCAACAACAGATTGATTTTCTTGCTGAGGTTCTTTGGACTACAAAAGAAACATTAAAAGACATGAATGTTAAAGAAAGAACAAAACCTAAATCATTTCAATTGGCTGAAAAATTAACAAAATAATTATAATTTTCCCTTCACAATTTTTTTTTTTTAAGCATACTATAAATGAATGAATCCACCAGAATGGTAAAAAGTCAGGGTAAAATTAGTTGTTTCCATCCAGAAAACATTCAGCGTTCATTGATTGAACAGTGTTAATTGAAATTTATCAAATCTTTTGTGTAAAACAGTTTTTCAAGAAATTAGACTCCTCAACTTCACTAAATATTATATCTCTTTTGGCAAACATGGACTTACATGCCCACAATAAGGTGTAGTGTCAAAAGAATGGTTTTCCATTAACACTTCTTTTTTAACTATCTTCACACTTCGACAATGTTTATTGTTTTAAAAAGCAATGATTAGAATTTTAATAAAGCCTAAATATATGAAAGTAAATTTATACATTTTCTTTGTTCTTGAGAATTGACAACAAAAATAATAAGCACTATTTATTTATAAGATTGTTTATTTACTCGATTTATTTATTATATTGTTTACTGAAATGGTTGGCAAACATTGGCTAATTAACAATTGATTTAAACTTTATAAAATGGAAAATAATAAGGATTTCCTTATAGTTGGTTCACACATTTTAATAATTCAGTAAATGTTTATAAATTTATAAATAAAAAATTGTTTTCATATTTATTTCTTTATAAATTGGTAAATGATAAATATTGCATTGGATTTTTAATACAATTGTACTAGTTTTTAAAATGCTGTAAATATAAAATTATTCTTGTAAATAAACAATGTAATAAATAAATAGTGCTTAATATTTTTGTTGTAAATTCTTAAGAGGGATTTTAATGTCAGCCCTATCATTATCAAGAAAAAAAAGTGTAAGTGACACAAAAACAAATAGGGATAAGACGTTATTGAACTAAATAAAAGGGTTTTTATTTCCCAAGATTTACAAGGCTTAGTTATTCACTTGTTACGAGGTATTGTATATCAGTCATGGGGGACCGAGAGTACATTCCGGGTATAACCCAAGGTAATAGATAAGGTAGACATGTGGAGAAAATTGACATGCATATGTAGTCATGTGAGATAGACGTGTAGGAGAAATATCAACATGAATTGTCACATTGTAGTAGTTGACAGTCTCCGCAGCTGCTGCTGGTTTTGTCAAAGGCCAAATGTATTGCTGTTGATGGAAATGCTTTGGTATCACTGCTGATTGCCTGGGTAGTCATGGATTCTTCAGAGCTTGCTTAAGCTACCAGCTCTGCAGATGGGGTTAAGGTCTCTCATTAATTCCAGCCTGGTTGAATCTGTCCTCATAGGTGAAATCAGCATTGGCTTTATAATGAGTCAGTGGTGCAGGAATGGCTGCTGTGAAAACTGTGTGGCTTTTTTTCTGATTGGTCAGAAAAGATGTTTTATGACCCTGGGATTTTTTGAACAGAATGAGCTGTGGATGTTGAAGTGAGAGCACTTCCATTTGAGTCAAAGAATTGAAGTCTTGACGGAGGTATGACAGGATAATCATCTTTAAGAAGGCCACTCATTATTGACATAGAAAACTTACAAATGTGAATGGTAATGGTAAAATTGGCCGTTTCTGTATAGGAAACAATTGACCTTCATTGAACAAAACGAATTACTGTCAATTTAAATTTATAAAATCTTTTTTCTGAAAACAGGTTTTCAAATTTCTTAAGTGCACTAAATATTATAGGACTTTCTAATATTGTGAGAGTTTCCTTCCAAACCTTTTGTTTATGGTAGCGTAGAAAGCTAGCATCTTGATTATAACATTATTTTCTCTTTTAGTTACATGTGCAACCCATTTTTGTGTCTGCTGCTGGAAATATTTGGTATAGTTCTTTGTGATTTTGTAGTACCAGTCTATAGAGTCTGATTCTGATGAAGAATTGTCTTCTTTAAGATCTAAAGGAGTCGTTCGCATGATAATTTAGATATTTCTGAACGAGTTGGACTCTATGCATGATATCCATATGGGAGTCTAGATCTAATGAGGCTATTTAAGAACATAAGTTTCCAGGTCAATTTTTTTGTTTTTTTTAAGAATAATTTTTTCATAAGTGATTAGTCATGGCCAAATGCAAAAGAAACAGTAGACCTGTGCAACAAACAAAATTAACAAAGTTTGCAATAAACTGAAAAAAGAAAAAGGGGCAAAAATGAAATAATATCAAGCAAGCAAACAATATATACAAAACAATTTAACAGGAAAGAAAGTGAAAAGTTCACAAACTAAGAATTAGCATTGACACACAGAAGCAAGGTCGAACAAGAGAACGCAGTGGTCTGTTTTCTAGGTAAGGCAGATCTGAACTGAGGTTATTTACCTCACCTCTCTACAAGGCAGGATGTGGCACAAGGGCGTTTTTTATGTGGGCCAATGTCGAACTGTAAACCTTCCTATTTTATTGGCTAAGAAAAATATCCCAGCATGCATTTGTGAACTTCTGCCTATAGAAGTTGAGGGGAACAGTTTTAGAGAAAATGAAAACAAAGAGGAATCACAAAGAGACAGTTGAAATTTCTAGGGCACATAATGAGGAAAGAGAGCTTGGAAAATCTGATACTCACAGGACAGATTGAAGGCAAGGAGAGAGGAAAACAACACATAACCTACTTAGTGAGTTTGAATAAACAAATAATGGAACAAGGTTTAGGAGAAATAACAAAAAGACAAAATTTATTAAGAGCAATGAAGGACAGGAAATTGTGGTGAGCCATAATCGCCCATGCCTTGAGGGAACACAGTACATAAGGAAGAAAACTGTGCTGGACAAAGTACCTCCAGTGCAATCTATCTTGTATTCAATTTCTTTATCTCCTATGCTAAATTTAAATATCTTACTGGAAGTACAAGATTTAATCAATACTATAAAAGCAAACATTAAAAAAGAGAAGAAAATTGGACAAAAAATTGCAGCCACAGTAAATGGCAATACACAGAAAAGGAAAAAACATTGTTCTGTTACCACAGTACAGAATTTTTGTTGTTTTACTTCCCTTTTGTTTGTCCCCTTTTTAGTTATGGTAAATTTTAGATTGTTCACTGTTTTTGACCACTTCCTGTTAATCCTTTAGCTATTGTGGAGAAATGTCAGATATACTTAGCAATATTTATCAGAAACTGCAGAAATAAATGTACAGAACCAAAGGTATAAATAAATATGTTTATTTGATTTTGATTAGAGTGAGACCTTTGTAATTTGGGTTAGCAAAAGTCTGTTCAGCTTCGTAGTTGGTAGTTTACAAGTTGGACTTGGGTAGCAGTCAACAGTGTATTTACTTTGGAAACTTGTTATGGATGTCAATCTGCTGTTTTATTGGTGGAAAAATGTTTTAAGCAGACAACCTCCTAACTTCTTCATGTCCAGAGTGGAAGAAAATGTGCAAAAGGTACAAGAAATGTTCAAGAATGTACCCAGGCAATTACAAATACTGGTGGACAATGCTGGCACTTATGTAGACTTTTAACATGGTACTGTACTACTATCATTATACTGTTCAAAATAAAACAAGTTTTATGAAAATCAACCAATAATTAATAAAGTTGTTTACAATTTAAATTTAAATAGGGGGTTTCTTTCCACCCACCCTGTATATCAATAATATACTGACACACATATCACAATGAGACTTATCAGTCATTCCTTTTGTTTACAAAACCTGACGATAAACTACATCTGGCAGCAAGGCCACCAATTGGGAGATTGAAGGTTTTGAGAAATGTGAGGTCAACTCTTAATTGCTGTTGTTCCCAGGTCCACCTTGACCCAGGGTGGTAGCACCTGTTAAGGTCCTATCTATGGACCAATAGTGAAACCCCAAAGAAAACACTATAAAGTATAAAAATACATTTTTATAGTAAAAATACCAGCAATACATTTTCATGTAAAAAAATTCAGCAACAATATTTAAAGTAACATGACCAGCAATACATTTTATCTGTAGTTGAAGCCATAAAATTGTGTTCAAATTATTTACATTTCAGCATTAAATAACCTATAGAGATGTTGATATGCCACTAAACAAAATCAACCAAACAACCAACTTGAAAGAACTCTTTCATGACATTAAACTATAGAATATTTTACAATTTCTTAAATTAAACTGTATTCCAAAATATAACTTCAAAAAACTACAACATAAATACACATATCACCGCCTCTAGTAATTATGTCCGCACAAACATGTATATGGAAAAAAGCTGAGTATTATCTACCATGTATGCAATTGTGAAAGTAGAATAACATATACTTTTATTACTTCAAAGCTCCCCAAAAAATTAAATTTCGGCATTAAATGACCCATGAGGAATTGATATGCCATTAAACAAACAAATCAATTAATAAATCTTTTGTTTCCACAAAACTGACTACATAAGTATGATCACTCAGTTATTAGAGAAGAGAATTGCCAAAACATCTACCAGCATACATTAGGAAAAATCAACATGAAAATTTGAATGTGTTCTGTGACATCTGGGTCTGCAATCTCAGAATATCTTGTTAAAGATTATCAATACACATCAACCTTTCATGGGGATATGTTTTTAGTGTTGAGTAGTTCACATTCTGATTTTTACCTAAAAGTTCTTGAGACAATTTTCATTAAATCAAGACAACCTTCTCTGTGTAAACAAAAGAAATGGTTGTTGGGTTTCAATGTGATCTGTTCATAGCATTAATATATGTGTGTCAATTTCTATATGTATTTTTCTTATCCTCATTGTCCGCCTCTTTCTTTTTTAATCATTTCTCCCCTCAAGCAAGGTGATAATGTCACTAAGATGCATAGCGTTACTGAAAGTGAAAGAAATGGAAAAAAACGTTAATGGGGAGAAAAAATAAAAAGAGAACAGAATTTGGGAAGAAAGAAGATGGCAATTGATACTGAATTTAAATTTTTGAAGATCATAGGTGTCAAGAAAGCAAGAAGCCAGAA